AGGGGAACATTCAACAGAGACTCATGAACAGAAGCCATGTCCCAGGCAGTGTGTCGGACCCCACACACTGTCGCCCAGACCTGAGGCTCACATGCCACATGGGTGACTGCGCAAGACAATTGCAGGCAACCCCTCAGGAAGAGGCAAGAATGTGAACCCGTCTGAGGCAGGGTTACGGTACAGCGGGGAGTAGGTAGAGCAGAGGCATTCCTGGGGTTAGAGCTCACATGGTGGGTTAGCATCCAAGATGCAGCTGCTGGGGCCTCCACAGCCACAATCCTTGCTACTTCTCCTTGTTGGGTGGGGAGCTAATTCCCCTCCCCCAGAATCTAGGTTGGCCCCAGTGACTTGTTTGACCAATATAATGTGGTGAAGTGATGCCTTAGGGTTACCAAGGTGAGGTCACAAGAGTCTTGCAGCCTCCACCCAGGCCTCCTGGAACTCACTCTGGAAGCCCTGAGTGGCCAGGTAAGATGTACCACTACCTGGGGCTGCTGTGCTGGAGAGGCCACATGAAGGTGTTCTGGTCCACGGTGCCAGCTGAAAGCATTCTTGTAGCCATCCCAGTGATCTCTGTGCTATCACACAGAAGAACCACCCAGTTGAGCCCCCTGAAATTCCTGACTCAAACTGTGCAGTATAATAAAATGTTTCTTTTAGACCACTAAGTTTCAGGTAGTCTATTATGCAGTGATAGACAACTGGAGCAGACACACACAGCTGTACGTATACGCAGGTTCACCAAAGCATTATTTATAATAACAAAAAGTTGGAAACTAAATAGTGTACATCGGTAAGGAGTTTGTTAAAGTAGGATACACCAACACAGTGAAGTATATCTAGTCAACAGGATGAATTCGAATGTTACCAATGCTGGCCCCTGGGCTCTCTATGCAATAGAAATTAGGGAGAAGCCAAAGGGGAACCAAAGGCAAGACTTTATTGGGGACCATGTTCCAAGTAAGGGAGGCAGCACAAAGGAAAAACCCTCAGGCTGCTTCCTTGGGTGTTGAGGGAGAGTTTTAAAGAGGCTCAGGCAGGAAAAGGGTGCCATGTAAGCATGTAGCAGTGGAGATTTTCTTGAGCCTGCATAGTTCTATTACATGCTTCTTCATATGTTGTATGTCTCACTAGCATGTTAAATATCCACCTCTGGGTGTGATTTTTAGCATTGAAATGAGATTATAATGAAGGAAAAGTCAGGTTAAGATCAGTGTGGGGGTCCTTGGCAGCCAGGTTCCTTATCAGCTGGTCTCAGCATCTTACTTCGGTGATCTTGGAAAAACATTACTCAAGAGACAGACGATTTGGCCCCCTCCCTTTTGTGGGTACGGGCTGAATTCCAGTGGCCAGGAGGTCATTTGGTTTTCTTTGCTCTTCTGTAGTTAATTAGTCTGGGTCTTGCACCCCCGTGTTGCCTCCCTTTGTCAGAAGTGAGGCCTGAATCCTGTCCCCTCACTGTCTCAGAATGAGTAGAGAAATGGCCAGATGTTCACCAAGATTATCAAGTCAAAAACATAAGTAGCAGAAAAATGGGTAGTGTGACAATGAGAATAACCCAATTAAAAAATGGGCAAAAGATCTGAATAGACACCTCACCAAAGATATACAGATAGCAAATATGTATATGAAAAGTGCCCAAGGTCATATGTCAGGGAGTTGCAAATTAAAGCAGTGCGCTATCGCTGCACTCCTATTAGAATGGCCGAAGTCCAGAACTCTGGCCCTGCTGGCAACGGGACCGCTTATCCCCTGGTGGGAACGCACAATGGTGCAGCCACTTTGAGAGTTTGGCAGTTTCTCACAAAACCAAACATACTCTTGCCGTAGATCCAGTGATTGCCCTCCTCGGCATTTACCCAAATGCGTTGAAAACTACGTCCACGTGAAAACCTGCGCACGAATGAGTACAGCAGCTCGGTTCATAATTGCCAAAATCCGGAAGCAACCAAGATGTCCTTCGATAGATAAATGGATAAACTATGGTATATCCATAATTGGAGTATTTTTCAAGTTGAAAAGAAATGAGCTATTAAACCACAAAAAGGCGTGGAGGACCTTAAATGCATATTGGTAAGCGAGAGAAGCCCTTCTGAAAAGACTCACACTGTACGGTTCCCATCATATGGCATTCTGGAAAAAGCAGACTATTAGACAGTAAAATGATCAGTGGTTGCCAAGGAGTTTTGAGGGGAAGGAGCGAGGGATGAGTGGGCGGACGATCTACGTATGTAATGGGGATAACTGACAGTGTGCGTTTGTCCAAACCCATGGAACGTACCACACAGTGAGCCCCAACGTAAATGACGGACTCTGGTTAATATTTTCCATGAGCTGTTAACAAATGTACCACACTAATGCAAAATGTTTATAATAGGGGACAGCGTGTGTGTGCAGGGGGTAAATGGGAACTCTGCACTTCCTGTTCAATTTCCAATAAACCTAGAACTGATGGAAAAACTAGTCTATCAATTTTTTTTAAAAGTGGTCACTTAAAACAATGGGTAGAGTATAATCACGTGCGTTCACTATCTCATTAAGCAGTAAATAAGGCCAGGAAGGGTGCACCCAAACCGCTAACTTCTGGACTCAAAAGTGGACAAGACCGTCAGTCCTGGGCCCTGGGGAGGGGGGAAGCTGTAAGTTCCTACATGGTTTGAATTTATAACGAACGCCGAATTGGCAACAATACCTGCTTCGAAGGGGAAAATGCACTTTAAACATGACAGTGCTGCTGCACCGGTCAGGCCACGCCGGCTGACCACGCGGAGTCTCGGGGCGAGCACGCGGGCAGGGGTGCGGGTCCCGCCCTTCCACGCAGGGGTCGGCCTGCCCGTCTGGAGCGCCC